GCCTCAAGCCCCCATCCCCATCGACCCTCCCGCAGCCCCAGTGCACCCAGCTCCATTCAGACCCATCTGTTCAGCCGATGCCACTGCTCTGCTTCAGCAGCCAGTGGGGATTTAACATTCAGCAGCTGCAGCGAGAGAATCCAGCGAGTCCATGACATGAATTACAAGTCTCCCTCCCCCAAGGAAAGGCTGGAGCCAGCTCAGCATCCCTCCTTCCCCCCCCCCCCCCCTTTTTTGGAGACTCATTACTATATTGTGGATATTCTCCACTAAAGGGCATCTCTTTGAATGCATTTGCTTTTTTATTAATGTGTGCTAAGACAAGTCAAGCCTGATTATCATGAAGACAATTGCTGAATTCCCTCCTGGAGAAATCTCATCTAGACTGTGTAGGCGTTTTAATTTCAGAGACCCATTAATTGGCACAATTGCTTAAGCAGCTGCTTTCCGTGTCATTTTAGGACCACTTTATGAAAAACAGAGCTTAAAAAAAAAAAAAGGGAAAAAAAGAAAGTATATGACAGGCCAGAGCTTTCTACATGGGAACATAATTAATGCAAGGAGCTTCCTTTGAGCAGCCAAGCAACAAAAAGCCATCCTGCTACCAAAACACAGCACTCGGCTCTGGGAGTGATCGGCTCTGGTGTGTCCCCACTGAGCACACACAGTGGGGTTGGAAACGGGGCTGGGCACCTTGTGGGTATCACCATGTTAGCCCAGCGCTTTCTGCAAGCGGAAAGGATGAGGGGAAGGGAAAGGAAAAGCAGGAAGAAGCCTGATGCATCTCCCATGCTGAGTTGTGCACTGAGGGGCTGTGACACTGCAGCACTGCAGACCTGGGGAGGTGGAAGGGGCTTGGGGTCCCTCCCATGATGACCATCACCACCTCAGGGGCTGATGGCACAAGGCAGAGCATCCTCAGCATGCAGGAGGTGTCCAGAGGGCTCTGATAACCCGGAGACAGCGCTGTGAGCAAACCTGGATGCTGGCAAGGATACTCAGAAGGATGCTCACATCAGGCATGCCCCCAGCAAATCCATCTGCCCTCGGCCCCAGGGTATCACCCCATAGCCCATCGCTGGCATTGCAGCTGACACATGGATGTTTCCCATGGCAGAGCCGGGCTCCCAGAATTAGGTTAATTACTGAATTAATAAAGAACAAATCCTTCACTCTGGGACAAGTGGCCAGACAGAGTTCTGCACTAATATACGTTCCCATTTATTAATAAATAAAGCCATATCAATGCCCTAAATTATCAGCGGAATGTATTTGCTAACCCAAAGCAATAGTAGGAACAATTATTTATTAATAAAGCAATAGCTAAATCTAATTACATCCCCATCAGATCCTGCAAGTAATAAAACCACAGTTGCCTTCCAGAGCCAAGGGACCTCCTGACCTCAAATCAAAGTTTAAACCATCCATCAGCTTCCAATACATTCACAGCACATCCAGCAATTACCATCACCTCCACTCCGCTCCCCGGCAGGGGCAGGGGTCACTCCATGCACTGCATGGCTGTAAGCTAGAACAGAGCCTTAGAAATCTCATTATCCTGTTAACCATACATTTATCTGACAAGATAAAAGAGACTAGGTGACCAAGCTATCATTAAAGATTAATAGAAAGTATAAAAAATTCAGCTGCAACCAGCATTACTGTTTAGTGCCTGTGATAGGCCTGACAGGATTATTAATCAGGCAGCCAAAAAGATTTAGGTCTTTGCTCTTGGTTTTTCGTTTTAAGTCTTTAGGTCCCCCGTGTCCCCCCCCATCATTGAAAGCCCAGGTCAGGGAGGACAGTGGCTAATTGGTTCTGTGGGGTTTGGCCATCACAACTCAGGACAATTATCAAATCACAGCGGCGCAGTGGCAGCAGCGTGGGACCGGTGGCAGTGGATGCTCGGCTGGTGCTGAGGCTGTTTATGGCTCCTCTCCCCACACCAGGCTATTAATAAATGGTACAGATCAATGCCTGGATTCATTTTAATAGAGGGCTACATGGCTCACACCAGTCCCAGGGCGATCTTCCCCTCATTCTTAATTCCATTTAAGTTTAACTTGAAAGATTCCCAGGTAACACCTACACAGGAAGAAACACGATTTCCCTGGTTTTAAGTCTTAAGTATTCTTTTTATTCTGCTTTGCTTTTTTTCCCCCCCTTTGATCATAAATCAATGTCCCATTCCCCGGAAGCCAGGCTCACAGGAGGGCTGCACAGCGCTGCCCTTCCTTTCTCCACCTGTGGGGAAGAAAACCCATACATTAAGAAAGGTGCTTCCTAACATCCTATGCTTGGGGGTCCCACTGCCGGCAGCTCTACCCACATCCCTCTCCTGCAGGGACCAGCAGCCTTTATTATGATATAGATAATATTATCTATATATTATTAACATTATATATAACGTTATCAGCTAACTTCTATTCTCTCACATGAAATACTGCAGCGGGAGCTTGTGCCGTCTCAGACCAGCACAAGCGTGCTCATCCTTTGCCACAAAACAGAGCAAACCAGAGAAACACTGCAAAAATCAGCCTCCACTGAGAAGGTTTTGCCTCAAAAACAACGCACAAAGTAAGTTTTCCTTGGGAAAAAAAGCGTGAACCAGTGCTGTGCACTGTGCTGCTCCCTCCATGCATGGCACCACATGCTGCTTAGCAAGCAAAGCCCTGGCCAGCCCCACTCTGAACATGCACCCCTGATGCTCTGCACCCCAGGGACGGATCCAAGCAATAGGGAAAGGCAGCAGGGAAACACAGAGGTGCCTGAGATGCAGCCCAGAGCCCGCCTGGGAAAGCATCTGCATAACCACGGTGATTTCCCTCCAGAGGACCACATGGAAACCTGCACAAGGAGCATTATCTGCTACAAAATCACAGTTACAAGCATTCACCCCCATGAATTTTCACAAGCTCGGGCCATTGTTTGAGATCCAGCAGCTGGGCAATAAATCATCAAGGGTAATTGAAATTAAGCAAAGAACAAACTAGTCCTGCAGAGATGCCCAGGGATTGCACTGTGTGGGAAGCTCCTCGCCAGCTCCATCCTATGTCCCAGGGTATGTGCCCACCAGAGGTTATCCCAGGTTGGGGATCATAGAATCCCAGGATCCCAGCCTGGTTTGTGTTGAAAGGGACCTTAAGGCTCCTCCAGCTCCAACCCCTGCCACGGGCAGGGACCCCTTCCACTGGAGCAGCTTGCTCCAAGCCCCTGTGTCCAACCTGGCCTTGAACACTGCCAGGGATGGGGCAGCCACAGCTCCTCTGGGCACCCTGTGCCAGCGCCTCAGCACCCTCACAGGGAAGAGCTTCTGCCTAAGAGCTCAGCTCAGTCTCCCCTCGGGCAGGTTAAAGCCATTCCCCTTGGCCTGTCCCTACATCCCTTGTCCCAAGCCCCTCTCCAGGTTTCCTGCAGCCCCTTCAGGCACTGGAGCTGCTCTCAGGTCTCCCCTTCAGGAGCCTTCTCCTCTCCAGGCTGCCCCAGCCCAGCTCTCTCAGCCTGGCTCCAGAGCAGAGCTGCTCCAGCCCTCGCAGCATCTCCATGGCCTCCTCTGGACTCGCTCCATCAGCTCCACGTCCCTCTTGTGTTGGGCTCCCCACCACAATCTGTTTTCCTACAGAACAGCTCCTGCAAGCTTCCTGCCGCTTCCTGCCTGCAAGAACAGCCCGTGCTGGCAAAGGGGGAAAAGGGCTTCCATCTGCATGAACTTCTGCAATCAAAGGCTGAAGATGGTGGTGTTGGCCTTTGAGCCAGGATGCTAAAGAGCCTCTGAGAAACCTGGGTTTGCATCTGTGCAGGAACTGCTCTGTAGTTGCTCCTGAAAGTAAACTAAATCAATTCCAGTTCTGCAGGACGAGCATGGGAAGCACGAGCTGGTTAATCCCCATCTGCAGGAAGGTAGAACTTGGCTTCACGGCGCCTTTGAAGCTCGCAAGAGTGAGATAAAAGAGAAATGCTAAAGCTCTGCAAAAGGCAGCAGAAGGGGGGGCGATGGGGAAGCCGCACCGCCGCCGAGCCGGAGCTTTGCCGGGGTCTCGGAACAGCAGAGCCCGCATCTTCCGTGGCTCTGACAAGCCTGGGATGAAAGGGAAACCTCCAGCGCTGTGCACATCCCCGGTGCTCCAGGGAGCAAGGACCAAGAGCTTGTCCTAGCACTGAGGCCTCGCGTCGATGGGGTCGGGGCAAAACCTGCTGAGCCTTCGCAATGAGGTTTCAGCTCGGCAGCGAGCAGCTCAGCGAGCCTGAAGGGTTCGGCGCAGGGACCTCACCTCGCAGCCGAAGGAAAGCAAATCCAGATTGATGGGAAGTTCGATTCATCTCAGAGGGGTCCAAACCGCAAGGAAAAGGATCTCAATTTCAAACATCCCCAGGGGTTTGTGGTATCCCTACCCCGAGGGCCGGGCAGAGCCGTTGCGCAGATGAAAACCAGGTGCCAAAAGCTGTCATGGGGTGGGCTTGGGCTTGTGGGTTTTCAGATGGAGGGTTTCGTTTCGGGGACATTTAATTCTAAGTAAATACATGTGACTCTTGCTTCAGATACTCCACCACATCCCATGGAGCTGGTGTTGCCGTTTATCCCGCTCTGGATGGGAGCATGATGTTGTGGCTGCCATTAACACCTCAACATTCACCATATGATCTCCTCCAGCCTTGACGTGGCATTTTTGGATGCTGCTGCTCTCCTTGGAGGCTTCTGCATCTGACAGAAGCTCTTCATATGGTGGAGACTGGAAACGATTGGAAGGAAAATGCATCCCTTTTCCAGGGAGGAAATGTCCGAAGTAGATAGAAGATAAAGCCAAATGAATTATTCACTTCCATTAGCTCATGGAAATCTTCCCTGGGAGCCCGCGAGGACCAGTGGGCTCCGATCTGTTTAGCAAGCTAAGATGGAAGAAGAGGATGGGGGGATAAAAAGGAGTTTAATGACAGCGTCTGTTGATCATCGGGGCGAGAAGAATGAATTGCTTCCCTGAACCTGAAAAATATCAAACTGCATAAATAAATCTATTTAAATTATTAATAAACGAATTTACATTTGGAGCCTGAGCCTGAGAATTAATTTCATTTCTTATGCTAAACTGGCCTGTACGGCTCATGACTCAAGAATGAAAAGATGCAGAAAGGAAGGAAAAGATGAAGGGGGGGGAGGGTTGTAAGGAAAAAGATGCAAAGTGGAAATTCTGGGTCCTAAAACAGAGCCAGCTCCAGAGCAACAGGAACAAAAAGGGTCTGAGGCTGAAGGTGTTTCAGGAAGGACGGTCCCTCTCCATCTGCACTGCTGGTACGCACGCAGAGCACCTACTGGTGTTTCTGATGGCAGCAGTTCCATGGAGGCTGCTGGGCCAGGACGTGTCACAGCAGCTCGTGTGTGCTCACAATGTTTAAACGTCGAGTCGAAGCAAAACCTGGGATGGAAATGTCCATCCCAGAAAGGATGCTTCAGCCCCTGTGCGCTGGGGCTGCAGGTGCTGCCTTCCCCACATCCCACTGAGGGCACTCAAGCGGAGCACCAGCGCATCAGCTGGCTGCTCCCAGGGAAATTAATTGGGAAGTGCTAATTTTCGGTACAACATTGAGCTACACGAGGGCAGGGCAGAAATGCTCACCATCTTCTGTCCCTTCTGAGCACTGACATGGGGAATGGTGCCTGGAAGCGGGCAGTGCCTTGGTGGCTGCCACACATGGGAAGCTTTGGGCAGAAACGCTGGGGTTTTGGTGCACTTCCCCATTGTCCCAGTGCTCTTCAGACTGATGGGGTTTTGCAGCCCCAAGGCCAGGGCTTGGCCACAGCAGCTCCTGGTGGCCCAGGGCCCAGGAGCAGCATCAGCCCCTTCCTCTTTGCCACAGCCCCTGTGCAGCCAAAGGGCCAGAAAACGCTTCTTTCTCCAGACATCTTCTCTTTTCCAGACTAAACAACCTCATTCCTCCCCAGCTTCACAGCAATCACATTTCCCAGACCTCACTTGCTCTCCCTCCCCTCTGAACCAGATCTGAGCCGTTTGCATCCTCCCCTGGAAGCCGGAGCTGGAGCCAGAGCAGTACCCAGGCCCCATCCCTTCCGTGTCACAAGGGATATGGGGACACAGGGATATGGGGACACAGGCAGCTCTCCTCAGCAGCACGACTGCAAACACACACTCCAGTTAGCACAGCCCTTTCTTTGTCGTTTACCCTGTTCTGCTGGGAGCTGGCACTGGTGATAGATTGCATATAAAAACCTACTTATAAAGCAATCTTTCCCTCAGCTGCCCTTTCAGTGGAGCCTGTCTGCAGTCTCCGTGCCGGGATGCATTGTTATTCCATGTGATGAGACATTCCAGGGAACCAAATAAAATAAAAATAGACATTTGGAGGGGCTTTTGTTTTGCTTTTTCACAGCTCCCCCCCCCCCCCCCCCCCCGGTTTGACTCCTGTGAACACACTTGTCGAGTTGATTTGCTCACGCTGCCTCCTAAGCATGTCCTTGCACCGGAGACACTGCTCTTTTAAATGCAGCTTCTCAGAATGAGAAGAAAAACTTGGCAAAGCAACAATGGGGAGGGGGGGGAAATATGAATAATCTCAGAACAGAAGTTGCATTATGTGATGTGGTTGCCATGTGGTTAAGTCTGAGAGAGGATCATGCAAGCGCATTGTGGGAAAGATGATAACAGGCGAAACAATCCCGAGGAGCGCTGAGGGTTTTGTAATAAGAGGTTACAGTGCAAACCCGGCCATACCACACCACGGCCCCGTGCCAAGTGATCTGTGAGAACCCATAATAGCCGGGTGGGTGAGCTGGGGTGGGGACAAAGGGGTTGTCGCTGTCCCCTGCACTGGGCAGACTCAATCTGGGTATCTTTGGCCAGGCAGCTTCATGATACAGGGATTTAGGCTGGGGATGCAGCACTGCTGGCAGTGCTCTCACTTTGGGTACCAGTCCCAGACCAAACCGGGGGGGGGGGGGGGTGAACCATCAAGCAAAGTCATGGCTTGAAGTGCAAGGGAGACCCACAGCAAAACGTTGAGCTGTCAGAGGTGTTGATGGATCAGGCACCTCTGAGGCAGCAACCGACAGAGCCCCAACGGCCCTGACTGCAGCTAAAAAGCCTGAACGCACCCCAGGATCTCACTTTACTTCGTCACACAGGTTTCTCTCCCTGGCCACGGCTGCAGGAGGCAGCTCAAGTGCACCCAAGACAGCAAAACATCACTGAAAGCCACAAACATCCAGCCCCAATGTGGGCTTTGCTCCATAGAAGAAGATTCCCTACCTCCACCACCATCAGAAAGCTGTTGGTCATCACGGGTTCATGACCAAGCTTCCGGAGCTGTCTCCAAAGCATCACCTCCTGGGGACCTGCTGTAGAGAAAAGCCAAGATTTGAGATGAACTGAGGCTCAGATGGTTTGGGGGAAGTGCTTATGAACTATAAAACCCCCATACTTTGTCCCCCAGGCTGCATAAGCTGTGCTGGGGAAGTTATCAGGGCAAAACCAACCCGTCCTCCTCTCACTTGCCTTGTCTTGGTATGAGCATGTGAGTGGGAGGAAAGTCAGCGCAGTCAGCTGAGCTACGGGAAACTCAGAGCGTGGGGAAACACATGCAGTAAATGAAGAAAAAAGGGTAAATTCTGTGAATTTATATCAGCAACGTGGATTTCTGCTCTTTTAGTGCAACAGAGCGCTGCGGCTTGCTCTCAGCCTGCGTGGTGCGACACTGCGGGTGATGCACAATGCAGTGTGCCCATCGGGGTGCCAACTCACCCCCCATGTGATCGGCCCTGGTCTCACCCAGCTGTGGTCCTGCCTCCAGCTTTATGTGGGCAAAAGCAAAGTGTGGGGCAAGGGGAGGAGGTAGTCAGAGCTGCGACTTCCCTGGCTGCGCTCTGCCCAAGGCAGGGGTGGGTTTGGGGTTCCCACTCCCAGCTGGAACAGGCAGATCCAGCCCTAGGCTGAGCCCTGCGGTGCAGCTCCAGGATGCAGCTCTGGGATGCTGTGGACTTGAGGATGCTGCCGACCCCCCCACCATGCCATGGGGGTGCTGAGCAGCACCCTCCTGAATCTGTAAGGCAAAGACTGTGGTGAATTAAACACGCTGTGAAGAGTTGGCAGAGCAGCCCCTGCACTGGCGCCGTGCTTTGTCTCAGAGTAATTTAGCAGGCTTTAATGAGAATTCATTCACATTATATTGTGAATAGCTGCTTTTATGGGAGACAAGAGGTGATGAACTAGTCAGAGCGGAGACGACTGGCACAGATGCCACCATGCATCATCACCGCTCCCCTCGTGCCAGCACTGCTACAGAAGCACCCAAGGAAGAGTGGTGATGAGCAGAGATGACGCAGGGAAGGGAAAGAGTGGGCTCAGCTTCTATGGGGACAACCCCAACCTCTCAAACCCCTCAGGGTGGGAGGAAAGGTAGCGAGGTTGTTTGGCTGTAGCTACAGGGCCACCCATCACACTGGTGACACTGCTGCCATGCTCTGGGCCAGGCAGGGTCCCCATGGACCAGCCCAGGGACCCCCATTGCATTGAGACAAGCTCACAGCAGCAATAAGGCTCAAAAGCATCACTGCCACCAAGCTACAGGGTCCCAGCACAGGGACCACCGGTGACACAGTGCCCGTTGTGCACCTCCAGGGAGGACAGAGCCTGGGGACAACTTTGCTTTGAGAGCAACTGAGTTCACACAATTAGAGACTGATGCGAGGCAGCAGGATCCAAAACCCTCATTTGGCCCGATTAAAGCTTAACGATTCCAGCCTAATGATTAAAGAAATGCCCCAATTTCCTCCTTCCAAACAGCCCTTTCTGCCAAAACTCAGGTGGAGCGGACACGCATGGGGCTGCAGCTTGTAGAGACAGCGCAGGGAAAAACAGGATTTGAATGGCTTGGGCACAGAAAGGAGGATTCATGCGAACAGATGAGCCGGTTAGCTAACGAAAGGGGGAAACTGAAGTGTTTTAATGAGCATTTCAGGATGAATACCAACCTGGCGGACGCTCAAGCAGAAGAGAATTGCTGTATGCAGTAATTTGAAGGGCAGCCGAGTGCAAGGTGAGGGTGGGCTGCAGCCCCCAGAGCATCACCAGGCTCGGGGCGGGCGGGCAAGGGGCTGCACCAAGCAGGAGAATGCTCCGGCTCCTTCAGCATCGCACGAGGCAGCATCCCTGGGGAAAAAGAGGCGGAAAATAAAGCTCCCCATCTGTGCTGGAGCTCTGGACCCCATTAAAGCAGCGGCCCGTGGGGGGAGAGGGGCGGCCTCCATGCACACAAGGTGCTCCCTTCATGAAAGCATCTTTTGATTATGTTATTGCAGCTATCAAAATATTGCAGAGTTCAGAGCATTCTGCAGGGATCCCCGAGCTCTTCAAAGAGCAGAGGACTACGGCAGGGGGAAAAAGAAGCCTTTAATTATGTCAGCTCCCATGCTTGTTTCTGCGGTGGAGCTCCTCGGAAAAAAACCTGGCTTTAATGAGCAGGAACACATATGGCTTCATTGTCCAAACATGGAAAATAAAGCTGATTATTTTTTCTTATTTAATAGACGTGCAAGTTTCTTTTAGGCCCCGTGGTGTCCTGCAGGCCTGCATACCGAGGGGCTCTGCGGCACAGAACCACGTGCTGCGTAAATCAAAGCCTGGCTGTAAAGCTGCCCTCCCTCCTCCAGCCTGGGCAGAGGCTCCAAAGCCCAGCCCCAGCCGATGCTCCTGCCCTTCCCCATCACTTCCACACACTTCAGCAGTGGTTTCCTCCTTCCCAGCTACTTGCAGCGCCGCAGAAGCCCACGGCGGGATGGTGGGGTTTCAGAGGGGTAATCTGCCACCAACCCAGTCATTTGGTTCAGATGTGCATTTGAATTTCAATGCGCAGGCTCATTTTCCTCCCCAGACGTAAACAGCACATAGCAGAGATGAGTACTACACAGCAGAAAGCACGGGCCAACCCTACATGTTAAAGAACATATTGACTATATTCTGCTAATAAATTATCCTATCTAGCAAATTGAATTAATGGGCTTGCGTGTGCTGCAGCCTGCTATCAGCGCCGCGATGCTTTGGGAAGCTTTGAGTACTGGTAAAGAGTGTTCTGTTGAAGAACTCACAGGGAACAATTACAAATAATTGCCAAGAGGGGTGCGTGCCTCCCTCGAGTGACTGCAAATCCCAAATGGTGGAGCAGAGTTAAAAACTCATTGGAATCATGAAGCATGGGGAGAGCGATTGGCTTTGACCCTGCTCTTCTGCACCTCCTGCCTGCTCCCAGTGCTCCGTGGGATGAGCAGGCTGAGGAGCAGCTCTGCTCTGGAGCCAGGCTGAGAGAGCTGGGCTGGGACAGCCTGGAGAAGAGAAGGCTCCTGAAGGGGGGACCTGAGAGCAGCTCCAGTGCCTGAAGGGGCTGCAGGAAACCTGGAGAGGGGCTTGGGACAAGGGATGTAGGGACAGGCCAAGGGGAATGGCTTTAACCTGCCAGAGGGGAGACTGAGATGAGCTCTTAGGCAGAAGCTCTTCCCTGTGAGGGTGCTGAGGCGCTGGCACAGGGTGCCCAGAGAAGCTGTGGCTGCCCCATCCCTGGCAGTGCTCAAGGCCAAGTTGGACCCAGGGGCTTGGAGCAAGCTGCTCCAGTGGAAGGGGTCCCTGCCCGTGGCAGGGGTTGGAGCTGGATGGGCTTTGAGGTCCCTTCCAACCCAAACCAATCTGATTCTATGACACAGCCCTCAGCAAGGGCTGCACAGGGGAGACTGGAGCTGCAGGGGGTGCGGCAGAAGCTGTGCCCTGACTCTCAACCCCCTCCACAAGCCTTTGCCTGCAAGATCCCTCATGGATCCTGCCGGGATCTACTTTTCCAAACCACAGGACAGCAACAGGCAGAAAGCTTGTTCATTATGAAAAAACCCCAAACCACAAACCAAAGCAAAGCAAGAAACTCCAAGAAAAGCCACTCGCTGTAAACAAGAGACTTTCTGGGAATGTTTCCCCATCCTTCCTCCCTTGAAGCTATGGAATAGAGTAGGAGTTTTGCACCCCATTCCTGAGAATCAGGATCTCCGTGCAGAGTTTGAGCTTCACAGGGGATCACAGCCGCTACCAAAAAGCCTCACCCCTGCAAACATCCCCACTGTCAGGCAGAAATAGTTTCTCAGAAAGCCTTAAAACCCACCTGAACCCTCCAAGTCTGGGACCTCCCCTCTTCCACATCATCAATGAAAACCAACACCCCAAACCCTCATGCTTTCCAGGCTAAATGGGACCCTGGGTTTCTCATCTGGAGCTGGGAACAGAGCGAAAACGGGATGCGATTCGTCTCCTCCTGTCGCAGCACTGGATATTGATGAACACCCTTTGGTAACCTGCCGGCGCCCCTCTTGGTCCTTTCAAACCCTAAGTACGATATCGAGGCAAGCAAAAGAAAAACCGCCTTTAAGATGACTCCTCGTGGTAGAAGGACTTACAAAGAGCAACTTCTTGGAAGGTTATAGCTGCAGCATTGGCATTTTAGCTGCCAATTTCTTTACACTCCTCACTTTACATGACAATAGAGGGGAAAAAGTCTGAAACACACAGCAATTCCCTTCCCCAGTCAGCAGGACACTGGCACTGGAAGGCACAAATTAAAGCTCTGGCAATAACGAGCAGCAGAGATCGGAGGCGCAGCCACTGATGCCAAAAAAGGCACATTTAAAACCACCATAAAGACATAATTTTTCTGTGTTTTCACATGCAAATAACAAGCCAGGAGAGCAACAACTCTGGCACTGGGAGCAAAGCAGGGTTCAACCCAGGCTGAGCCAAGTGCACGGGTGATGAAGTTTAGTCAGAGCAAAGCTCAGACTTAGAACACACGGAGCAGTCTGGAGCTGAGCCTTCCCTGCGTGGGGCTGACACAACAGGGCAGAGAACAGCTCTCCGTGTGCTCCACAGTACCCAGGGATGGGGAGGGGATGGATGGGATAGAGGGGTCTGTGCCATCCACCAAGCCACAGAGCATCCATCCTGCTAACCCCGGAGCTGGGCCAGGTGTCCCCAGGAGGACATTCCAGCAGGCACCTCTGCCTCTGGAGCTTGCTTCCCTCCGGGGCAGGCCAAAGCCAACACATGCCATGATTCAGGGGCTGGTGAATCCAGGATACGAGGGCAGGTGTAGACACAGCTCAGCTACTGCCAAGGGCAGAGATGGGGCACAGAGATTGAATGCCAACAGCACTGCTGCAGCCCCGCGTCTGGTGAAGGCAGCACTGAGCTCGCAGCCTGCACATGCTTCCTGGCTGGGGCCAAAGATGGGCTTCCCTGGCAGCATGCACGGATGCGGGAGCAGCTCACACGGATGCGGGAGCAGCTCACACGGATGCGGGAGCAGCTCACACGGATGCGGGAGCAGCTCACACGCACTCACTGCAGGGCCCTTGCTTTTAAGGAAGCAGCTACTTCAAACCTGCTCCCCGCAGGCACAGGGAACCACAAAGGGATGCAGCAGCAAGCCCTGCATGGCCGGGAGGAGGCTATACACGAACGCGCTAGGGACCAAAACCAAACGGCAGCACACGGTGCCATGTCCCATCCCTGCCTCTGCCATACACACACACACACAAACAGCTCGGTCTGATTTCATCGGGCAGGAATGCGGTGAGCTTCGATTCAAAGCCCCATCTCTCCCTTGCGCTTTCTCCTCCTGGTGGAAGCGGCTCAGTTTTCCAAGACTTGCTTCTTTTTCCAGGCTAAAATAAGACGTTAACCATTGAAACGAAGGCTCCCTGGTCCCCCCCAGTGCGGAGCTTCGATTAAAAATGGAAAGGGGCACCTTTAAAACTTTAATACCATTTAAATGTTCCCGTCTCTCTCCTGCACCAGATCACTCAGTAAAGGAGCTAATTAAAAAATGGCTGCTGTGATGACAGACTAGATTAATAGTTTTTGAAGAGCAGCCAGTGCACCAACTGCTCCTGCAGCCATGATGAAAGCTAATAATGTAGAAAATTCTGCCAATTCTTCTAATTCATGAATATTTAAGCCTGTGAAAAATCTGTCAGATTATAGCACTTTTCTGGTGATTTTCTGCTTAAGTACACTTATGGGCAAATGCCAGTTGCTCAAGAAACTTCAGTGGAAGTTTTATTGCTTGCCTCACCAGAGCCCTTTCCTCTCTCCTTGGGCTGTTTAACCCCTGCCAAGGCTGGGGGGGTGGGCTGTGGGCAGAGGAGCATCCCACTGGCACAGTCACCCCATGGGACAAGTGCCCTCCCAGGGGTGAGAGAACCACAGGATCCCAGCCTGGTTTGGGTTGAAGGGACCTTAAAGCTTCTCCAGCTCCAACCCCTGCCATGGGCAGGGACCCCTTCCACTGGAGCAGCTTGCTCCAAGCCCCTGTGTCCAACCTGGCCTTGAGCACTGCCAGGGATGGGCAGCCACAGGTTAACGGGGATGACACTTTTGGGCCATCACCAGGATGGGGAGACACCCCCGGATGATGCTCATTTCGGGATGTCTTCGCTGCTAGAAGGAAAAACTGGCATTTGGTTTCCTATTAAAGGAACTGATCCCTGGTACATCCCAGCTGGGTGAGAAGCAGGAGCAGTCGCTGGCTGCCGGGCTGTCCCCATTAGCCCCATGTAATGAGACCAAACAGGGGCTGGCAGCAGCCGCGGCGAGTCCTGGTGAAGGGTCGGTGCTGGCACCGGCCATGGGCTCCCATTCCAGCTGGCTCCAGCTAGCCCCAGCACAAGAGGCTGGCTGGATCCCAGTGGCTCCCTGGCAGCGGGCTCTCCTCACTGGTGGGCTGTGCTCTGCTGTGTGACTCCTGCTACAGCCGGTCAGACAAAACTGATGGCTTGGTGCAAGAGGAACCAACTCCTCTGCTCCGCTCCTTGCAGCACCGGAGGTCATCCTCAAGGTGGATGAGGAAGGGATGCTCTTCTCCACCATTCCCAGTGTTTTTCCCATCAGACTTGCCTGGTTCTTGGTGATGAACAGCAGATCTTGTTCTGTCAGCTGGAACTGAGCAGAATAAAATCAAGTGGCCAACAAGAGCAATGGGAGCTTCTCCTCTTCTGCTTTCCCCTTAGAAAAGTTCACGTGGATGTGAGCAGAGCCATGAGCATCACAGTGATAGGCAGCCACAGTTTGGCCCTTCACTCTCCAGCCCAGATGCTCCCGTGCAAGGGCTGGATGGTGGC